GCAGGCCGAGGGTCACACCACCACCACCACCACCCCGCCGCTGCCCCCACTTCCCTCACCCGGGGGGGCCGAGGCGGGCGATATGCAAGCCGACGTGACTCTGAAGGGCGAGGGGGCGCCTCTAGCGGCGCTGCCCTACCCTACCCGTCGCCGTCGCCCTTGTCGCACTCGTACACGCCGCCGCCGCGACTGCCTCCAAACCGGGAGGCTCCATCCCGAACGATGAGTCTGCCCTGCCGCCGACGCCGACGACTCTGGCGCTCCCAAACGCTCAAAGTGATCACACGCGAGTGCGCCTGGCGAGCGGCCAGGCGGGGGCGGCAGCAGCGCGGCTCGGCGGCTGACCCGGTACGAGCCGTGCAAGCGAGAGAGACGCGGTGACGTTGCGCCCCCGGGCCGGGTCCGCCGGGTCGCAGGGGCGGCTGAAAGGCTCGCTGTGGCGCTCCACGCACCGCCCTGCCCCGCCCCGCCCCGCCCCACCGCGCCACCACAAGTGCATAGTAGTGTGCAGTTTGCTCCACCGGAGAGACAACGACACCGCGAATGCATGACCGAGATGACGTCCCCTTTAACCCGCCTCCCCTCATTATTCGCCGCGCGCATAGTTGGGGAAAAACTAGACGCGCGCTTGACGGTGAGCGCGAGCAAGGGGGGCGGGGTATGGCGCGCACCGGCTTCAAGCGGCGTGAATATGTAGAGCAAAACGCGCGCGCAGCAGCAGCCCGACCACTATGTCATTATCCACCCGACGCTACAAAGGCGTCCCTATGCACTACCGCGAACTACTGCCAGAGGGTGGGGGATGCACCGCGCGCCATTAAACCGCAAGTAAAACGCCCCCGTGTTTACGCTTCCGTCACCTTGCACCCAACAAATGACATGACAGAAAAGAGAATAATGATCAAACTTTTACCAAAACTAAAACATAAAAGCGCACATTTGCAGGTCCTCTTTCAAATCAGAACCGAGGGGGGGGGGGACAACTCCCGGAAACATGTGTACACCTACCTGAGAATCATCAGTATAAAAATTAATCGAAATCAACAGAAATCGCTTAAACCAAGCGGGAAATTGGTGGAACTGGTACAAATTAGTAAAAATTAGCGTTTTCTACCACTAGAAAACTTAAGAAATAAATATATGCGGACGGGAGTCACTGGGAATCAAGTATTTCGGGAATCATGTGTACACTTCCACATGAAGTTATTGCCCCTCGCCCCTCGTATTGCCTCCTCGATCTGAACTGAATTCCGATTCAACTAAAAATGCTATCAATCGCCTGAAAGGTGGGTTGGGATAGCTCGCTCGCTGCAGTTTTCTTGAAATAACTCCGTTGAAATACCTCCCGCCTAGTGTAGGCAAACCTGACAAAGTGGTTCTCGCTAGCAGCGCACAACGGGGTCCCTTCCCTTTGCATGGAGCCCGCGCGCACAACGTCGCATAGCATCACGTGATCCTCTCGACGCGATCGCCTCGCTGCAGATAGGGGGGCCCCCGGAACAACAAGGGGCTTCCCCGGGCTGCAAGAAGAGTAGGGCGGGCTGGGCAGGCGCGCTCAATGGGTTAATTATATCAGAAACGAGAAAGAGAGGAAGACGGACGGACCAGACCGACACAATAGTTGCGCGCGCAGCGAGGGGGCTTTCTTTTTTAAAAACATTTTCTCTTAATTAAATAACCCCAGCAGCAGGGCCGCAAGTGTCGGGCGCTAAGCTCCGCCACTTGCTACTACAAGATGAGATGCGTGCGCCGCCGCATCGCGCGCCGCGCTGCGCTGCGCGCTTGCTCCTCCTGAGCCGCGCGGGTCGTACTAGACTAATGAGACTGAATTATGTGCCACGCTACAGGCTCTATGGCCATTCAGTGACAGGGATACACAGATAGGCCTGGTGCATAACGAGGCGAGGCGAGCGCGGGCCGACTGCGGAAGGAATTCGGAAGGTGAGGGAGGCAGGCGGCGGCGGCGGCTCGGGGAAAGGGGGGAGGAGGAGGGTGATATTATAATTATCAGGTGGGCAACTGGCAGATAGCAGCGCAGTGGGGGATATGGGTAGCTCAAAACAGAAGGGGGGGGGGGAGTGGGAGCGGAGCAGGTCGTCGTGTGTCTTCCCAGATAGCAGTGCATTTTACTACGGCGACTTTTATAATATGCTGCATATGTTTTGGAATAAAGCCATGAAATTGCCCAGCATGAATAAGTTTGAAACCGCTAATCAAAACCAAAACAGTCGACGAAATATTTCGGGCGTCATTACCTCGAAAATTTGTCATCATCCACATCATCCCTTCCGCGTTTCTGTTGTCCCTTGTATCCAGCTACACGTACCTCGGCCAGACCACCAGGACAACGAGTGAGTGCGAGTTGAAGGGAGGAGGAGAGAGATGATGTTGATGATGACAAATTTTCGAGGTAATGACGCCCGTGAACATTTTTAATTCTTCCGTGGGGAGAGAGAGGGAACAATGTACAATTTCTAGGCATTTGTGACGAAATAGCAGCCTCTCTAAGCGCAAGGTGTTGTATGAGAACACGGGGACTAGTACTCGGTAGGAGCGCAAGACCTCTCATTACGTCCGGGTCCGGTAGGCTATCTCACCGGAAAAAAAATTTCGAGGTACGCACGTCTAGTGATAGATTAGACCTAGCAGAGACCCTGTGCAAAGTTTGAGCCCTGTGCGATAAC